TCATTAAAATTTTCTTTATATTTTTTAATTTTTTCTTTATTAATAATTATTATATAATCATTAAAATTTGAAAAATAATTTCTTTATATTTTTAAAAAATTATTCAATAATAATTATTATAAATTCATTAGAAATTAAAAAATCTTATTCTTTTAAAAATTTTCTTTAGGTTTTTTTTTCAATTTTTAATGATTTTATTATAATTATTAATTATTTTAACTTTCAAAAATTAAAAAAAAACACTAATTTAAAAAATATATATTTTTGCCGTTAAGTTGACATGTATTTTTTCTTGATTGATCAAACATTAGTCATTAACGAAAATCAATCAATTTAACGAAAAAAATTAACTAAAGAGCTATTTTGTATCGAGTGCCTAACAATATAAGGTTTGTTGTGAACTATATTTGAGTAGAAGGATTGCAATGATAGTTTCGGTATAATATATGAGCACATGATGTATTTGACCCTAAAATGTCTCGGATTAATTGTTAGAATAGAAAGATAATAATGCCTACAATTTAGCTTTGTAAAGGTCATATTCTAGCTATAGAAAATAAACAAAGGATGAGAAAAATCTCACTCCTATCAAAGAAAGTTAATAAAAAGGCAGTCAACTGCAACCCAATTTAGGATTTGAAATGAAGGTTTTATTGAAAGAAGAAAAAAATAGTGGGAGGTGAAATAGTTCTTTCTATATGGCTAACAGTTCACATATTTTTTTCTCTTGGAAATGAGCAAACCACATTCCTGAAATTGCTAACGTAATTCACTAATTTATGTCCTTACGGAGGAGTGCAAGACATGGTTTGAATTTTTGAATTTTAATTAGATTTTGCCTTTTTTTTCCCGGAAAATGATAATTCATGAAACCTACTAGAGGGAAAAAAAATCATGGAAGTGAATTTCTTTCTATATAGGTTGTGTAAATGCAATTATTGTCATTTGATAGTTATGATGACAACTATGGGTAAATGCGATTTTTTTTTTAATGATTATTTTCAAAACTTGAGGTTATCATGAGAGCAACCAACTATGTTGTCCGGAGCTTAATTAATTTTTGATACTACAGAAATCAATTAATTTCTGATAAAATACAGGGATTAAATTATAATTAAAACTCATTTTCCATACAATCTTGGGTTTTTTTTCTAATAAAAAATGAGCCTCAAATATTTTTTCCTCTGCATAGATCAGTCTCTTCATGCTTTATTTATTTATTTTGGTCCTTTAAACTTCTGTTTATCTCTCCCTCGATTGTTAGGGTAGCCCTTAATCATTGGTTTTTTCCCCTACTGACCACTGGCTATAATTTATTGGTTGTTTTGTATAACGGGCTAATGATGACATTGCCTGGAATGATCTTCGAAGACGAAAGGGTGTTGAAAGGGGTGTCAGCCTCAGGCTAGTGCCACAAAATAATTCTGATTGTGACCTTTCGCTTGCAAAGTGAAAGTTCGGGCAAGGAGCCCTTGCCTAATCTTTTGAACAATTTCATACGGATTTCTGGTCAAGTTTTTGTTTCTTTTGCTATTTCTAAGCCTTTGCCGTGTAGACCAGACAATCCATGCCGGCTTTTGGTTTTGCAGCCTAACATTTTTAATTTTTTGTGTCGAAGAGGTCATATCAAATGGCAAGTTAGCCATGTTCAAAGTTGCTTAAAAAGTCGAACATGCCCGCCATTTGTCCAGACTTCATTTCAAAGTTTTATTTATTTATTATTATTATTATTACTATCATTTATCAAATTTTGATTTAAGTTATCTTTCTTGAATGCTTTTAATAAAATTTGTTCTCGGAAGCAAGGTTCGAGAGACTTTGCACTGTATACAACAGGGTAGTTTTTCTTCGGTTTTCATATCCAAATCTCTATTCCATCTCTTCCATATTTTTTTTATTCTAAAAAGAGATAAAACTCTAAATAAACTAGTTCATGTTATATATTTTAAGAATTACAATTTCCTTATTTCTTTTAAAATAAAGCTAATACAACTCACTGGAACATTAGAAAAATGAGAAATATCCAAGGAAAAAGAGTAGCATAATTAGCGAGCCAATCAGTTGTGTGGTTCGCTTCTCTATAAACATGAGACACTTGAACCATCCAAAGTTTTTAGTGCATTTTGCATATAATGATAACAAAATAACTATAAACCGTCGATGATCGTCAATAGAATGCAAATATTGAAATTCTATTATGAAGTTAGTTTCTAGACAGACTTGTCTGCGGCCTAAATTCCACGTCTCTTCTATAAATTGAATATAAACATCCCAATAAAAATGCCAAATTTCAACCAATTTCGAATGAAGAAATGATTGTAAGAGTTGTCAATGCCATTATTATAATAAATACACTCGATTGTCTAATGAGTCAATTATTATTTCATATTGAGTTTTCAACATAATTGTAATTTAATCTCTCAATTTTCAAAAACTTATAGCTCTCTCCTCCGCTTCATTAATAACTTACTCCTTTTGATAATGCATTGTTAGTGTAGTGCTAAACTGCCAAATAGATTCAATGACAAAAATTACCTCAAAATTATTGAATTATAACAATTTAAACTTATACTATTTAATTTGAATTATTTAAATTTTAAATTATTATTTTTTGAATAAATGTTATGATTCTTCACGTTATCGTTAGTTGTCAAAACATTAACCGTTAACCGATATATGGTTTAATAAAAAAATTTTACTTTCAAATTATTGGGGTTGTAGCAAAATAAAGCCTATATTATCAATTTAGATCATTTGTATACTAAATTGTTAATCTTTTGGCAAATTTTATTCTTCTCTATTATTTCTACCGATCAAAATGTTGGCTATTCTTTTGTTTGTTTTTTTTTTTTTTTTGAGAATTAAATTTCAATTGCAATTTTATGTTAATGATAGTTAGCTTTAAGGTGGTTTAAATGATTTTTTTGTTTATGAATTTACTTTTTTTTGTTAGATAATTAATGATGTGTAATACATCCATTTAGTAAAAAAAAAACTGAATTATTAACTTTTTTTAATAATTAAAATTAATTTTAAAAAATTAGCTTTAAGATAGCTAAGATGTTTTGTTTTTTTTTTGGATCTTACTTTTGTTATTAGATAATTAATGATGTTCAATAGATCCATCTAGTTTTTTTTTAAAAAAAAAATCGAATTACTAATATTTTTCAAAATTAAATTTAATTCTAAAAAAAATTGAAATGCTTAAAATGATGTGGTTTTAAGTATTTTAGTTAATGATCATCACTTTAATTGTTAGAAGAAATAATAATAATAAAAAAATTCTCTAAAAAAATTAAAAGTTTGAAATTCAAATAACTCAAATTGATAGTGTAGGTCTTAGTTTGTCACAAACTCAAAAGTTTGAGGATAAATTTTATCATCAAACCGTATTCTAATTAAGGGTCAACTTTTGATTGTTAGAGATAACAAAAAAATAATAACATTTTCTCAGTTAATAATATTTTGGATTCTAAATAGTTTAAATTGATAATATAAGTCTTAAATTGTTATAACTAAATAATTTGGAGGTAATTTTTGCTATTAAACCCTACGTAATAATCAATTATCTTAGTTTCACAAAAACCCTGCATGGTATTCAATAAGTGGCAGTTGTGTAATTAAAGCAAAGGGTATTTTTGAAACTATAAAGATTGCTTGTATGACAGCTGAGCGCCTCCGTAACAATTAAAATGGAGGGACGAAAACAAAGTAGAGGATATAACTATACATTTTTTAATAGTGAGAAACCAAGTGACTATCTTGTTGAAAATGGAGGGATGAAAGAATAATTTACTCTTGTCTAATGTGTACATGGACAACTGCCCCAGGCATCCCCTCTGTTTAACTTACCTAGCTTTGCCAACCATTTGCCATAGGCTTGATTAGCTCATAATCTTCTATCATTTACCAGCTATCTTGCCTTGGAATGGGAACAGATTAACTCTCTACACAATTCAATATTGACTAATCCTGTTTTTAATTGTGCTTCAACTATAACTATGGCAGGTCCCAGATAAGATTTCCTTGTGTTGGCTACTTTGAGTCATGTAAAAACCGATCTATTCTTTGCTTCTTCTTTTTTTTTTTTGGTTAGGGTTTCCCGCAGTGATTTAATTATTCTGCAGGCAATCAATCAGTGTCTTTCTTTACTTGTATTAATATTGCAATTTGCATGTGATGGGCAAGCAAACTTAAATATCCTTGCATTATTTGAGTTACCTTAGGAAGGTAGAAGTTTATGCTAAAATAAGCATAAACGAGTAGGGACTGGAGCAAGCAAAGAGCAACAGAGTGGCACCAAAATAGAGAGAAAAGGTGAAAATGAGAGATTATGAGTAAAAACACAAGACAATTAAACTTATATAATCATACTTTTTCCTCAATAAGAGAGTAATATAATCATATATCACACCAGTAGTAGATCCTGATTCTGATTTGTGGGATCCACTCAACCAGACAAGCAGGTCTCTCAAACCTTATGGTTGTTGGCCTTACCCATCTTCCAATCCTACCAACTTCACACCCATCAACCAATGTTTTTTTGATTGTGAATTTCTTATCTCTAGCTCTCAAATTCGCACACTTTTTTTTCTTCTTCTCAAACTTGCACTCTTTTACTTAACTAGCATATCTAAGTTACAGTTACATGCAACCGCAAGTAAAATCATCAAACCCCCTTTCACATCCTGGAAAAAAAACTAAAATGTGAAGAAGAGAAAAAAGAAAGAAAGAAAGAAAAGAGAGACAGAAATCTCCACCCAAAAAGAAAAAGAAAAACTTTGGCCAAAACAAGCCAATAACAAGCCCATTCTGTCTTCTCCTCACTGAACTTCAGTCAACTTGAAATAGCTTCTCTAAACAAACTTATGTACAAAAATGCTAGATCAGTCTCATACCCATCTTGCAATTCCATTCCTCACTAATTTTTTTAATGGTATATTAAAATGATATAAATATATAAAAATGGTGAATCATAACTTAGTGGGTTGTGTAGTTTGTCAGTGGAGGACTATCCTTCGATATTTGGTTTCTGTAGGAGAATCAGAGCCATCACAGAGAACCCTTTTTCTATTGCAACCACTAATGTTGGTAAATGAGTCTTGGTGGATGGGCTGAAGTGCTGGTGGTGGGGGTGGTGGTGAAGGTATGGTGACAGGTGGGATCTCAAAGGACTCAAGTGGTGGCGGTGGCTGTCTCCATTGAGGAAGTGGCCCAGCTAGAAGGAGAGTCTGTAAGAGTGGACCAGCTTTCATCACTGCCTGTAAAAGCTTTCCCTTTTCAGGTAATGGCTTTTCAGGAACTAAATCCATTGCTGCTTGAGGGATAGTTTGTTGTGCTGCTGGTTGGGAAAATTGGGATGGTTGTGGAGTTGGGTCAATGACTGGAGATGAAACTATGCTCTCTTCGCAATCTGATGATGAGAAGCCATTGCTGGAGTCAATTCCTCTTCTGGGTTCATCTTCAATGCTGGAAATCCCAGAGACGGGAGCATTTTGGTGATGTTGTTGCTGCTGTTGGAACAGGACCTTCTCAATGACCAGTCTTTGACATTTCTTTAGCGCCTCATCTCTTTCCCTGATGGCTTTGCTCAGAAGATCCTGGAGATGAAACAAATGGTCATCTTTCTTTCTTAGTTCTTCTTGAACTGCTACCCTTGTTTGCTCAAGCTCCAGAGTCGTGTACAAAAGGGAATTCCTTATTTCATCCATATTCTGCATTAGTAAAAAAAAATAGAGAATTCCCATACAAATTAGCTCTTAAAATCAAAGAAAAGAAACCTCGTTCGTACACCTAAAGCAGAAGAGAAGAAAACCCCATCACACTCCTCACATCAGAGAACACGAAAAACAGATAGCAAATTACTCCAGAAAAAAAAACATACTAAATTCTAGAAATGTGTTACCTTTCCCTGGCAGTAGTAAGCCCAGCTTAAAACAGAAGTACTTCTTTGGTCGTCCATGCTTTTCTTCACTTGACTTGAGGACTGAAGCAAAGATTTTCTTTTTTTAAGGGAAAGAGAGAGGGGGAGAGGTGGAGGGGTTTTTAAGTGGTTTAGGTAGCTCTTTATAAGAAGTTGCTGCTATGTACTGTCAACTGTTTTCTACAGTATGTTCTCTGTAGCTTTTCTCACCAGCGGTTGGACAAAAGCACAAAAAGCCAAAGGCTATCGATGCCAATTTTCTAACATCATATGCTCCCTCTGTCTCTTTCTCTGTAGCAGAGTAATAAGTCAGTATTTTGTAGCCGTATCTATAGCTGTATTGCTACGAGGCAAAGAATCCAGAAACTAGAGCAGAGCAAGGAATGAAGAGATCAAGTGCGGTAAAAGCGGGTAAGGACTAGTTGCTGGAGCTATCATCACTGCCGTAGAACTTTAGAAGCAGGAGATCAGCGTACTTTTCTAGCCACTTGCATATACTTGGAAAAAAAAAATGTTGAATTATTGACGTTACCTTAAAACTATGCAAAAAGTCTCTTACTCTGTGGGAAACTCTATGGGACCGGTCAATTCGTGGCAAACCTGTTTGGGAAGGCACACAGTCCAATTCGGTTGATTTTTGGACCTTAAAATTTTTCAGAAAAGCCCCAATTTAGTCCTAAACTTATTTCTCAGTTGATTCCTAAACCTATAAATTTTATTACCTAGGTCTCAAATGTTTTGAGAAAAAATTCTCAATCAAGTCTTTGTTAATGTTCATCAATATTTTTATCAGATTTTCTTCAAATCAATGAAGTTTTAATACATGAATATGTATTATATTAGACAAGAAAAGTTAATTTTGATTGACTTTTTCATCAAATTTTCTCCGAATAGACACCGTTTTGGTGTATAAACTATGCAAATTATACTTAAATTATAAAAAAAAATTGACAAAATTGAGAAATATCAGAAATGTTTAGGATCTAACTGATAAAATTTAAATATTTGGGATATAAATGAGAATGTATATATAAGTTTGGGATTGAATTAAGGCTTCTTAAAAATTTTAAACGCCTATGGGATTTGTTATTTTTCGTTTCTTTTCTTTTCTTTTCTTTTCCTATGGACACTGGTCATTCTAGTGCCTTTAGAACACACAAGGTATGAAAGCATTAGATAGTAAAGAATTTCTACTTCAAACATTTGTTCAAATCTTGTAGCAAGATGTATACATTAAAAAAAAAAAAAAAACTCTAAATATAGCAACTTTGATCATTCCACAAAAATTTAAAATGAAAATAACAAAATCGGAAATAAAAAATAGTGGGAATAACGTCACTTTAAATAATGTTTATATTTTGTAATTGTTGATATAAGATTTTGAAAAGATCTTTCACTGAATTATCTAGCATATACAATTAAAGACAAGTGATATTTTAATGTCTCTTGTGTATTCAATTTTTACTGTATTTATTACCCATCACCAAATTGAACTTATTTATTTATCATTTTTGGAAAAAACCCATTTGGAGGTCCTATATTTATATCAAATCAGCAAATTCAACTTTCTGTAAACAATTCTACAAATTTGACTTTATAGTCATTATATTTAGACAATTCAATCCAATCAATTTTAATTATTAATAAAAATTCACTTGCTATGTAAAAACTTTTTTAGGAGAAAAATATTAATCACATGATGCATAAGTTTGACTAAAATGTTTGGTTCCAATTAAAAAACCATTCTAAACTTTTTTTAAAAAAAAGTAATGTAAATACAACAAAAGACTTATTGTTCTTCTCTTTTTATTTTTCTCAAATCTGCAATGTGATTTTTTGTCTAAAATTCCAGTTAAGCATTTTAAATAAAATTCTCTGTGTCACGTGAATGATATTTTCTGACTCAATGAGTAATTTTAAAATAACAAATAAATTTCTAATTTTTATTGAAAAAAAAACCAAACTTCTGGAGCTTAATTCGAGAAAATACATGGTCTAGCTCTCTATCTTTAGAAAAACAAACCAAGAGTGATTATAATTTTAAAACTCAATCATTTTAATGAATTACAAACTCAAATGATTTACTACTCAGCACGAAATCTTTGGGAACATAAAATATATTTTTGAATAATTTTTGTTTTAGAAAAATATTGTTAAAAACTACGAAATACGCATAAGATCAATGATCAAGGTGTTAAATGATTTTAACATTCAAACTGTAGTTATTATAAAGTATTGAGGCTAAATAATTACTTTTGTAAAAAATAATTATATTAAAAGTAATCATATGTTTTTGGTTTTAAAATTCAAATTAACTAAAGATGTTAAATGATTTAATTCATATGGATTATTCTGAACATTGATCATTATATTTGACTCAATTAAAAACTGTGAAATACGCGTAAACTGAAGGAGTTAAATGATTTAATTGTTTACATAAATTAATTGTGAACATAATGATATTTGATTGCGTGTGTGTAAAAATTAAGAATTATAATTTGTAATTAAGCTTAGCCAATTGGTAGGGATGAGCAAACGGTTCGATTAATCGAAAATCGAATAAAATCAAACCGAATTATGAAATTTGATTCGGTTTTAAATATAAAATTATACAATATAAAACCGAATCAAAAAAATCGAAATTATTTTGGTTCGGTTCGGTTTTTAGAAAAAAAATTTCGGTTTCGATCGAAAATCAAAATAAATTGTAAAAAATTTCCTAATTTCTAAATCCCTAACTTTTCAATCTTCATTCTTGTTGAAACTAAAACACGCAGATGAGAAGTAAATTTTGAGGACCGTTGGGGTAAGAAAAGAAAGTGAGAGAATGTAATTAATTAGGATACGAGTGTGTTTGAATGAGCAAATTTATTACACTTGGATTTGTTTTCATTAAAGCTTAGTTAAAATCTTCAAGGGCTTTGTGATTGTTTATAAAAAGGATTAATTGATAACAAGATGTTACTTTATTGGTTAGTGGACTAAGTGCTAGTATAAAACATCTCTCTGTAATGATTTTTTTTTTTACGAGCAAAATATTTTGGTTAAAATCGAAACATTTCGAAACCAAATCGAATTTATTTCGGTTCGGTTTTGGTTTTTAATTTTTTTAATTTGGTTAATCAAAAATCGAACCGAATCGTACAAAACCGAACAGTTTAATCGAATGCTCACCCCTACCAATTGGTACGTGGTCAGTACTTGTTCTCCTTAGCTACCAGCTTATTATCTAAGGTTTGATTATTGTTATTATTTTCTCTAAGGTTTAGAGTTAAGAGTGTGAATAGCCCCGACTAAAAAAAGAGTTAATCTTTGATTAATTTTCTTAAGTACTATTTTTGAAAACTTGTGAAAATTCTTTGGCGAATGATTATTTTCATCAAACAAAACGGCAGATTTTGTCTCACGTGGGCTGCTTCTAACTCCAAATTCCAAACCGCGTCTTCCCTTTGATTTTTCTCTTTAAACGGAGTTTGATTTCGTCACGATAAGCTTATTTTTCTTTCCTGAAATTCTTTTTAAGGAAAACTGGTATCAAAATCGAAAGAGTAATAATGTTTATTAATTCAGTTCTTGTTTATAAATAGTCTATTCTCTTCTCTCTAAAACTGTAACACTACCTCTATGTTTTGTGCGGCCTTTATTCATTATTTAGAAAGCATTTTTGCTGTCAAAGCGTTTTCATCATTCTACTCAGCTTTCACCATTTTAATATTTTGTTTTCAAAATACCCTATATATTCCACAATAAACCTTATTATGAATCCCAAGGTATTTTGGACATTTAATATAACATATTATATATATATATATTATTAAGGTTATATATCTATTATTAAGGTGTGAAGACTGTAATATAAAACACTATATAGAACTAACATGATAGTAAAATAGTATAAGTTGTGAAGATTGATGTGGATTAAATCCCTAAAAAATCTATAGAATATTAAATTAAATGTATAAGCTCGTTAGATTTTTTTTTATAACTCTAGTTGTTGACATTCTAAATAGAAATAACATCTTATCATTTGATAAATCCTAATAAAAAATCGTAATGCGTAGTTGTGGAGTACGCACCATTGCAAAACCATTAAAAAATTTTATGTTGTGTAGTTGTATTTATCATTCTATCGTATTTTTTTACTTGATTTGTTTCCTAACACACATCGTCACAATCACACACACATAGTCACTTCTATTCAAAGGCTTATAAGGAATAAATTTTTTTAAAAAGGTGAAATTAATTTATTAGTGTTAAAAGTATAAATATTAAATTATAATTTATTCAAATTGAAATACACTTTTGACATGCTCTAAATTGTGCATCGGATTAAACTTTCCTCCTGAAATACAAAATAACATTGTTCTTATATAAGTTTACTTGAATAGTAAATTTTTAAATTTTTAGATTTTTTTTTTTTTTGCAAATTAAAAAGCCACATAAACATAATTTTTTTTATGTTTACATATGAAGAATTCTTTTAAAATCTTTCAATTTTTTTGGCAAAGTAAAAAGTTATAGCAACATAATCAATGATTAAAAAAAATACCCATTATAAAAAAATGATTAACCCTAATCTTATATTGATCAAGAAATAAGTGGGATGTCTGAACAGTCTTGGCCAGAGAATCTTAAAGATGGCTGCTTTCTGAATGAACTCATTGTTAGGAATATTTTAATGCGATGATAAAACATTAAAATGATTTAAAATTTACCGTTAGGTAGGATTCTTTAACTTTTACTTGGAAATCAGAGAGAAATTTTGTTTTCAATGGGCATACGAAATTGAATAATTCAATATCTGGTAATACTTGGTCTTCTCGTGTTTCATATCTTCCTGTTGTCCGTGGAATAATTCCTCGGTCCATCTCCATTGACAGGTACCAAGTAAAAATGTTCTCTCATTCCATCCAACAATCGAATGCCTCTTGTCCGTAAAATTGCATATTATGGAAAAAGTTCCTTGTTATATATATTAATTACGAGTTTGCTCAAATTATTTGATTTTTAGGAGCTTGATTTTTATGGTTTTGGTTTCC